GAGGAGGAGGACGGAGGAGGAGGGAGGAGGAGGGAGGAGGAGGAGGAGGTAGGGAGGAGGGGGAGGAGGGGGAGGAGGAGGAGGAGGTGGTGCCGCCACCCTGGCCCCTGCTTCTCGTCTCCCCGCCGGACCCGCCGCCGACATGGCACAGTGCCTGCTGGACCTCGGGCACATGGCAGGGCGTCGGCACCTTCGCGGGTGCTGCGACGCCCGCGCCTGGCCGGGGAGGTGGGCCAGCAGGTGGCACCGGGGGGGAGGCACAGGCGCGGAGGAGCAGCGGGAGGAGACCGCCGGAGGTGCAGAGGGTCTCGACCTCTCGGGAGCCTCGAGACGGGGGTCCATGCCGACGGTGGTCAGCCAGAGCGCCAGATCTTGCAGGATCTTTCAGGGCCAGGCTCCCATTGATCCGGGTTTGGGTGCAGGGTTCTGAAGGATCTTGCAGGATCCTTCGCATTGACCCGAGGCCCGAAAGCCATCACTTCACTAATTTTGGGCCTCGGGGCCCACTGGGGCCCCAGGGGCCCCAGATTCGTGAAGTGATGTTATTTCCCACGGAAGAAACCCGAAATTCATCACTTCACTCAACCGAGCCCAGGGGTCTCAGGGTTCATTTCGATTCCTCCGATTCGATTCGATTCGCTTTCGGTGACATCCGATTCCGATTCGATTCGGCTTCAGGTTCCGATCTTGATGCCGATTCCTCAATGGAGGCCTACTGACCTGCCGATGCCCGCCGATTCGACTTTTCCCGGCTCGGCTGCCGATTCCCGCCGATCCGATTCGTTTCGATCGCCGATCCGATTTGTCGATTCGATTCTGGGTTCTCCTGGGGTCTTGACCTCGCCCGGACGTGTGCATGGTGTTCTCGGCGAGGGCCATCGCGGAGCAGCTTGGATGTAGTCTGGCCTGTCCATGTATTGGCGGAGTATTCTACGATAGTCTGGGGACGTGTGAACATAGTCTGGGGAGGTTTGAGCATTTGTTGTTGAACATATTTTGAACATTGTTTGAGGACTTCTGATGTTTCGTCCAAACTCCGCCTGTAGGGGGGCATGCCCGACCCACATCCTGGATTGGCCTGCGAAACACAAGCGGGGAAGTCAGGAGGGGAAACACCACACAGACACAATTCATCGTCGATTCCCCCGAAGCTATAGGAAACTCTGGGAAGTGTGGGGGGGAAGACAAAAACCCAGAACACATGGGGAAATCTGGGGAACCCTGTCTATTATTTGTGCGTCTTTGTTTGTGTGTCCCAGGGCCCCTTCGGGAAGGCTCGCCCGAGCGATGGCACCGAGGGGGGTGGGAGGCGCAGGAGGAGGGCGGGGCCGCAGGAGGGCACGCCGCCCGGCCCGCAGCACGGTGCCCGCAGCCGGGGCCGGCTCGAGGGCGGCAGGGGGCCCAAGGCGGCTCAGAGGCGAGGATGGGGGCGCATATTAGTCCGGGGGAGAGCAACACTCGGAGGTGGACAGGCCTCCTACCCTGACGCGTCGATTCAGGAGTTGGCCGTGCTCGGTTCGCGAGGGGGCGTCGCGGCCGTCGTTTTTGCGGGTCCAGGTCCGTCGGTTTCGGTCCCGGGCCGTTTTCACCAAGGGGAGGTTTACTGGAGGGAGGTTTGCCCACCGCCGCAATACATGTATCCAGGGGCGCCGAGGATCTCTGTCTTCGACAAGGCTCCCGGGTACTCCAGATTTCGTAATAAAAGGGAGGGGGTCTCATTTCGGGGGGGGTCTCCTCCAGGCTATCTTGGAGGGCCTGGGGGGGTCTGGGGACGATGTTTTGGAGGGTTCTCCCAGGGGGGGGGGGGGGTCTAAAACTTCTTGTCTGGGAGGGTTGAGACCCCCTCCCTTTTATCACGAAATCTGGAGTCATACCCGCCCCTGGGCTATTCGCCCTCCTCGTCGCCGCCGAGCAGCAGCCGGAGCAGGCCGAGAGAGGGGGGCCATGGCCCCGTTGCCGGCACCCTGCCTGCGCGAGTCCGTGCCGTGACCCCCCGCGAGCGGGCCCGTCCAGGGCAGCAGCCGCAGGGGGCCGCCCGGGAGGCGGCCCTCCTCCACCTGCATGTCCTCCTCCTCCTCCTCGGCCTCTTCCATCCTCTCCCCGCCCCCGCCTCCCTCCTCCTACCCCTCCTTCCTCGTCTCGGGCGACGAGATCTATACATATCCACTGCTCCCTGGCCAGGCCCATCCTGAACCCAGGAGCTGTGTATGCGCCCTCCTGGCCAAGCCAGGAGGGCGTCGCGTATACACCGCTGCCGGGCTCACGATGGGCCTGGCCAGGGAGCAGTGGATATGTATAGACTGCGTCGCCCTCCTCCTCCCCCTCCTGCCTCGTCCTCCTCCCTCGCCCTGGTGGCAGGAGGCCGCCCGGCTGCATCGCAGGAGCCGCCGCGCGACCACCCCTCGCCCGAGTGTGCGGGCCGGACGGGCCCATGCGGGCCGGTGCGGCGGCGGCCGGGCCAGCCTCGCCGGAGCAGCCGCGGCGGGTGAACGTCGTCTCGGGCGGGCACAACCACATTCGGCGGCGAGCCAGTGGGGGGAAGTGAGTTGGGGGTGGACAGAACCCCCAACAGTGACACGTCAATTAGTGAATTGTCCATTTTCGGTTCTCGAGAGGGCGCCGTGGCCGTTATTTTCCAGGCTCGCGCCCGCCAGGTTTGGGCCTCAGGTCGTTTTCATTAAACCACGTTTTACTAAAGGGGGGTTTGTCCATCCCCGAGTTAGAAGGGGAAGGTGGAGACCTTCTCAGAAGGCGGCGGGGTTTCTCAGAAGCCCTCGCGCCTGGGAGGAGTTTTTGCTCGTCTTCGAGGGGGGCTTCGAGAAAGCCTCCCAGAAGGCCCGGGGACTTCCGAGCCCTCTGAGAAGGCCCCGTCCTTCTGGCTGCCCCCCCTTGCTCGCCGCCGACACATGGGAGCTTTTTCAATGTCCAAGGCGATAGCGGGCGTTACTCGGAGGAGGGGGGAGGGGAGGGGGCCAGTAACATCACGTCTCGCGCTGGCGCCGGCTGGGATTGCCTCGGAAAAGCCAGGGGCAGCTCGGGCGCCAGCGCGAATCGTGACATTTTTTGGGGGGGGGTCGGCTTTGGGCCGGTAACGTTAAGTCGGGCCTGTCCCTCTACAGGGGGAATATTCAAAAATGGTTAAAAATAGTCCAGGGACGATTGATTATGGTTGGACATTTTGTCAGCATTTTTGGGGTATTGTCAATTTTTCTGTGTAAATCCGCCGGTAGGAGGACGTGCCCGACCTAACGGTAACCGCCGCTATCGCGAAGAATGGAAAAACGCTCTCTCCATCCGCGAGTACGTCGACGTGGTTCTGCAGGGAGCCTCTGCGCCCAGCGGCGTCCCGCAGCCGGTGGTGCTGCGCGCGAGGGTGAAGGCCGCAGGGAGCGAGGTACACGGTGTCTTGGCGTGAAGTCGGGCACGTCTCTCTACAGGAGGAATGTCCAAAAAATCGTATGGGAAGAGTTTTCTATCATTTTTTGACAATTTCTGAATAGTTTTCGACTGTTATCAACTTTTCGTTCCAAATCCGCCTGTAGGGGGACATGCCCGACCTACGTAATTTTGGCGATGTCGTGAACAGTTTTCTATTCGACTCTGTTTTCAGGAGGGGAAACGCACACAGACACAATTCATCGTCCATTTCAAGCAAAATGTGCGGAAGTGTGGGAAGTGGGGGGAAGACGATGGAAACATATGCGGAATCCTGGGATTTTTTGTGTATTTGTTTGGGTGTCCCTGAGCCTCTTCAATTTTGGTGCAAAGGCGGGACGACGACAGAACGAGGAAGAACGAAAACAACACGAAGACGCAGAGCACTGCAGCTCGAGCCCTGTGAGGCCATGTCCAAGGCCATCAGCGTGGCGGAGGTCTCCCGGCGCTGCGCCGAGGAGCTTGGCCTCCTGACAAGGTCCGGAGGCCCCAACCAGTTTGGTGACCACACCGCGTGCTGAGCCAGTTCGGAGTCGGGGTCACCGCACGGTTTCCGGACGCGGGTCGTTCCCTGAGGCTGCTTCGGGCGACTGGCGTTATGTCTTGCGTGTTCCCCTACAGGGGGATTTTCGACGAAGAATAAAGCATACGCCCAAAATAAGAAAAAATGCTCCAAAAATAGTCTGGGTGCTATTTTTTGGGGTATTTTTCGATCAGTTTGTGGTATTTGTAGGATTTTTTTCCGTCGAAAATGCCCCCTGTAGGGGGACACGCCCGACTTGAGACTGGCGCCTCCGGGGTCCCAACAGACCCGTGCGGTGACGGCCGCGAGGTCGTTGGGCACCCCGAGGCCCCCTCGCGGCCCGTCGCCACACGGCTTCGGGGCGTCGAAGCCCGGGCCTGCGACGTCCTGCTTTTTCCAGGACGGCGCCCCTGGAAATCCCGACCCTTTCCCCCAGGACCTCACCACCTACCAGCCCACCCCAACCCGACCCGAAGGCCTCCAATTGACCTCCATTTCCAGGGGGGGGGGGGGGTCGGGGAACGTCGAGAAAACACATGGAACCCGTACCCCCCCCCAACCCGAAATTCGGGTCAAATTCGGGTCTTCGGGTTGGGTTACGGTGGTCTGGTAGGTAGTCAGGACCGGAGTCTCGTCCTGAGTCGTTTTGGAACGCTCCCGAGGCCCGGCGAGGGCCCCCCGGGGCCGAAGTAGCCAAAACCTCCCGTCGGGATTTTTTGACGACGCGATCCTGTCTGGGATTGTGATGTTCCAGCCTACTTTAGCCCTGGCCACCAGAAATAATTTTGAGCCCCCCCCAAAGTACGGAAGCTCTAGGGCTTCCACGTGTCGGGCCCTGGGAGACACTCGCTCGACACTGTTTCGACACTGATTCGACACCCTTTCGACACTTTTTTCCGGGTGCTCGAAATGATTTCTGGGACGTGCTCCTTCAGTGCGATGGGGGCAACAGAAGTCTGCGAGCAGGTCCTCCTCCGTGCTGCGCGGCATGGCGGAGGAGGGGCCGCACCGCCGCGACGCGCCGGAGCTGGAGATCCGGCTGGACTTTCGGCGGCGGCCCGCCGCCGAGCCCGCGTGAGGGGCGCGCCGCGGCGGGCCCCGTGGAGCGGTGTGCGAGGCTTCTCAGGAGGGAAAGAAACATACAGACACAAATCATCGTCGACTCCCAGGAAAATATGGGGAAATATGGGACGTGGGGGGGAAGACAGAAACCCAGAAAATATAGGAAAATATGGGGGATCTTTTTATTTGTGTGTATTTATTTGTGTGTCCCTGGGCCCCTTCAGCTTCGGGGCACCGATAAGGGGGTCGGCACGACGCACTGGAGCTGGAGAGGTAGCCGGCTGGACTCTGGGCGGCGGCCCGCCGCCGAGCTCGCGCGAGGGGCGCCGCGGCGGAGCTCGCGGAGCGGTGGGCCAGGGCCCAGTGCCAGGAGACCGCTTGCTGTACACCTTAGGCGATGCTTAAGAAAACTTAAGTTTCGGCCAGAGTCTCGATGGTTTTTAATGTTTCAATGTGAATCCTATGATTTTAATAGAAGTTCTGGGTTTTTATTCAAATTCTGAGATTATGAATTTCTTAACCCATGATTTCTTAAGCATTTCGCAGGGTGTACCCACCGGCGATGGCGGGCGCGACCAGGGGGCAGGGAGGGGGGGCTGAGGGGGCTATAGCCACGTCGCGATCCGCGCCGGCGCCGTCTGCGAATGCCTGAGGACGGCTGAGTCCCAGACGGCGTCGGCGCGGATCGTGACGTGGCCAGGCCGGGGGGGGGGGGAGCGGGTGCGGGGCCGGCCACGGGCTATGTAATTATTAGGTCGGGCATGCCCTCCTACAGGCGGATTTTCAACGAAACGTAAGCATACCGCAAACATGATGAAGGAATGCCCCAAAAATACTCGAAACATCGTCCCTGTATTTTTTTTTTGTGTGTGTGCGCCTATTTTTGAGTCTTCCCCTGTAGAGGGACAGGGCCGACGTAGCGTTGCATCATCCACAGTCACGAAGGCCAGCGCGGGAGGGTCGCGGGGCGCCGCGGACGGGCCCGTCCTCCGGGGGCTCGAGCCCGTGGGGGGCCAGGCCCAGGCTGCCGAGGGGAGCAGAGAGCGCCTTTGTCCGCATCGGGGGCGGCAGGGGTGGTGGTGGTGACTAATTAGGGGGGGGGGATATTGTGGCGTGGGCCATGAGATATTTCCTCAGATTTCTTGTCGCCTCTTCTTATTTCACTGCGTCCCTGCCCCCCCCCCTGGGGCCGCGCACATGCCGCTGGCCATGATTTGCGCCCCCCGCTCCTCTTGGACGGCCCCCTCTCGGCCGACCCCGATGCAGGACCGCCAAAAATGGACGTCACGGTGGTCAAATGCCTCGCCGGTTAAGCCGACGAAGATGTACACATTCCAACCATTCGTCGATGTACAAAGTTTTAGTTTGAATCCGGCAGTAGCGCATCAATGTCAGCTTGACCGAACAGGTTGGTTGCGCACCTTGACGTCCGTTTGGGGTGCTTTGCAGACCTGACCCCCCAGCCTTACTCAAGTTCAGGGCCTGCGCGCCCTCAGGGTTGTAATCGTCTAGACCTCCTAGATGGGGTCCGAGTAGATGGGGTCGGAGGATCGCGCCGCATCGCCGATGCATCACCGATGCTGCTCGATGTGCAGCCCGATTTGCTTCACCTTGACGTCGCCGATGCATCGCCGACGTCGACGATGAATCGCCTGTGCATCGCCGATGCATCGCCAATGTATCGGCGATGCGGCGCGATCCTCCGACCCCATCTACTCCGACCCCATCTAGGAGACCTCCAAGTTGATAGAGGTGGCGCAAACGGTCCCTATGTTAAAAAGTTCAAAGTACGGAAAACATTCGAGGCCCATGTTTTCAGAAAGTTCAGGTTCGAAGTCGCGATAACCCTGGAGTCTGGAGAAAGTTTGGTTTCGAACTTTCTAGGGACTCCCGAATTGGTTTCGATGTCTTTCCGAACTGATTTCGAACTTCCGGATTGGTTTCGAACTCTTTCCGAACTGAACTATGTTTTTTTTTTTTTTTTTTTTTTTTTTGTTTTTAGTTTTTCTCGAACTTGATCCAAACTCTGTTAACACATTTGAGCTGAGTTCGGTCTCTCCCTGAACTTCGAACTTGCTCGAACTCTTGCCTTCCTTGGTTTCCGGACTCCGACTCGAACTTTCCCCCCGCCCGAACCCAAGCCCAAACTTTCAATTGTTCTCGAGGAAAGCCCCTCTCTCCCCCCATCAGCGCATTGCAGCCCCAGGGAGGGCGCGGACTCGTGTCCTCGGGCCTGCTTGAGGTCGATGCGGCCCCAGCGGGAGGCGTCGGGCCCCAGCTCGCTGATCCGGCCCTTCGGGAGCCGGGGCAGCGTGGGGGCCGCGCTGCGGCGCCTGCCACTCTCCTTGCCTGGCCGAGGGCCCTGGGCGGAGGCACCCGCCAGGGCCTCCCCGCTCGCCAGGCTGTGCCACCGCCGTCGCTCGGCCAGTGTCAATCAGGAGGGAACAAAAAGCACACAGACACAATTCATCGTCGATTGCCCACGAAAATATATGCGAAGATGTGGGAAGTGGGGGGAAGACCAAAAAGCTAGAAAATATGGGGACATATGAGGAATCGTGTTGTTTGTTTGTATTGATTCGTAAGGGCTTCGCCCCATGCCGCCGGCCCCCTGTCTCGGATAATGGGAGATGCAAAAGCTACATCATGAGGTCTGGGCGCCGCCGTGAAGCAGTGTCGGGACCTGTTTGTTTTTCGACCCTGACCCTACGGATCTGCGTGAGAAGTACCACCGAATTTCAGAAATGTGGCAAATCCCTTGTGTTGTTGGACCCTGACCCTACGGATCTGCTTGAGGGGTGCCGCCGAATTTTAGAAATGTGGCAAACACCTTGCGTTTTTGGACTCTGACCCTGTCGATCTGCATGAGGGGTGCCACCGGATTTCAGAAATGCTGAGAATCCCCTGGGTTTTCGGACCCTGACCCCGCCGATCTGCGTGAGGGGTGCCATCGAATTTCAGGAATGTGGCCAATCCCATGTGTTTTTGGACCCTGACCCCGCCGACCTGCGTGAGGGGTGTCACCGAATTTCAGAAATGTGGCAAATCCTTGTTGTTTTTGGACCCAGACCCCGCCGATCTGTGGGAGGGGTGTCAGCTTTTACCCCACCCCAGCAAGTCAGAGCACACGCTCAGGGCGGCTAAACCTGCCCGTTTGGGCCTCCCCCCCCCATCGCGCGGTCCATCAACACGGGAACAGTGAGCAGCAAGAAGCAGAGCTGTGACAGTGGAAACTGTAAGCTGCAACTGGTACAGGAAACTGCGAACCTTCGGCCTACAGCCTGGTGGCCCCACACGTTTGGGCCTCCCCCCCCTCGCGCGGTCCATCAACACGGAACAGTAAGCAGCAAGAAGCAGAGCTGTAACAGTGGATACTGGAAGCTGCAACTGGTACAGGAAACTGCAAACCTTCGGCCTACAGCCCGGTGGCCCCACAAGGGGGCCGGCGGATTTGCGTGTCCCAGGGCCCCTTCAGCCAAGTTCTCGGTGTCGTTGCTGCTGCAGGGGCCGATCTGATCCTCAGCGAGGTCGTGCGACGGCGGCACCCCGCGGGCGACGTGCTCGTAGTTGCCTGTTGGGCAGACGAGCCAGCGCCGGCGCCCACTGGCCCAGGGGCAGAGCCCTGGGCAATCCATCCACGTCGGGGCTCGAGCTGAACGGTGTCCTGGCGATTTCGTGGGCCGTTTGCGTTTTGACGTCGCTTCGCAGCTAAGGAAGAACGACGACAGAGCAAACAGTGGAAGCGAAACCAAGAACAGAGGGCGGAGCGAACGACGACGGAGCAAATGTACACTGAGAAAGGGCACGTGAAGAGCGAAAACGAAAGACACTGCTTAGCGCCAGCGCCCCGGGATGGAGACCCCGGCTGACCATCCACGGCGCCAGCCTGCGGCAGCTCCCTGCCGGGCTTGCCGGGCGGCCCCGGGCGCTCCGCTCGCGCACGGCGGCGGCGGTGGCCCTGGCGCCGGCGTCCGCCTCGGGCCGCTGGAGCCGCCGACGTCTCCAGAGCTCGGGGGCAGCGGCCATCGATCGCCGTGCTCTCGATCAGCCATGCCTCGGTTGCGCGTATCGGCGGCGAGCGAGGGGGGGGAAGTGAGAGGGAGAAGGCCTTCTACGAAGGCGGCGGGACTGCCTCAGAGGCCCTCGCGCCTCCTGGGGAGGCTTTTGTGTCCTCAGGGAAGGCTTCGACAACTTCTCAGCAGGCCGGGGGACTTCCGAGCCTTCTGAGAAGGCCTTCTCCTTCTCACTTCCCCCCTCGCTTGCCGCCGAACGTAAGGGTGGCATTTCGCCAGAATGACCTGAGTGACCTTTGGTGCGGGCTCATCGGGGTCCCCCCGATCGCTGAGCGCGATGCGATATGGTGGCTGCCTGCGCGCTTGGATGTGGCCGCCTTGCGCCCCATTCTTGCCTAGGGCCACTCTTTGCGTGTAGCCGATCGATCAGCCGTTCCCTGCCGTTCTCCTGGGGCCTCTGGGCGAGGTCCGCCGCGGAGGCGGTGAAGTTGTTGCCCTCCGCCTCCGCTTGGGGCCCATCCCCGTCGGGCGCTGCGGTCGCGCGTGGCCCTCCGCTCTTCGGGCTCCAGGCGGAGTGGGCGAGGCATGGACAGGCGATCTGCCCCGCATGAGCCTCGTCGGGGCCGGGGGCCGCCCAGGCGTCCAGCAACAACCGCTCGTGGACCTCGGGGTCAATCAGGTTCTGGTCGGGCTGGGGCCCTGACGGCGCCAAGGGCTGGCTAAGAGTACTCGACGGACGGCGCCGCCGCCAGCCCCCGTTTCCTCCGCAGCGGTCCCTTGCCCCGCGCCGGCGGAGCCCTCCCTCGTCCTGGCCCCCCGACTGGAGGCCCCGCTTGCGCTGAGGGGCGCGGCCGGGCCTCCGAAGACGGTCTCGCTCGTCGGCGGGTTCTCCTGACGCGTCGCCCGCGGCGAGGAGGGTGCCGCGCGGCTTGTCCACAATGTATCCGGCTGGACGAAAGGGGGGGAT